GGGACGTCACTTGTACCAAATTCCCATGAAACTTCATGAACTCTCTTACAAACGACTTCGAGATGTTCATGAAGCCGGCTCATCCTCCCGTAGGAGATAGCCGAAGTAAATCAAAAATCAATAAATCAATCATCAGAGTTGACGAATTATTGGATACAAAAGTGAAGCTAGCGAAATCTTAAATGTCTCAGACAGAGGATCGACTTCCTGACGAAGTATGGGCACAATGTGCACTTACACATTAAAACGACAAAAATGCGGGAAGCCTAACATGACAAAATCAGAGATAGACGCCCTGAGACAACTTAAGAATAACAAGGATATATAGTAATCACAAAGTCAGACAAAGGAAATGCAACAGTAGTATTAGACAAATCAGACTATTTGGACAAGGTGAATACACTCATATAGAAACAGGGCCATATGAGGAAATTAATAAATTAATAGACACAGTTATGAATAAAGTTAAGAAATCCACAGCGGACCTTATCAGCCGAATGAAGCCGTTTCTAGGTAAGTCTAAATGGTTCAATTTATTAATGCCTAAAACTAATAACCCCAGTAGGATGTATGGTGTTGTTAAAGTTCATAAGTCAGGATACCCTATTAGACAGACCTATAGTTGATTTTTGAAATTCACCTACTTATGAATTATCTAAATATTTAGCCATGGTATTAAATCCCCTTAAAAGCCACTCGAAATCTAGACTAACAAATTTTTATGAACTAAAACATAGGTGGATTAGATAATTTAAAATTAGCTAATGAATAGAAAATGGTTAGTTTTGACATTGTCAGTTTATATACACGTATACCAATAAATATGGCTATAGAGGCAGTCAGAAACGAACTCATTCCTGACCAAGAACTCGAACTAAGGACGAAAGCGCCACTGAAGGACATAATGCTGGGAGTGCAGCTATGCCTGACTTCCACAGTATTTAAATTCCTCCAATGGAAAATATATAAACAAACTGAGGGAGTTGCCATGGGATCACCAATATCCCCGGTTGTGCCAGATATATTCATGGATAGTTGCGAAAGCATAGAGATTGAAACGTTCAGGCCCACCCAACCCAAAAGTATGGTGGAGGTGTATGTAGATGACACATTCACTGTACTTAGAACACAGGATAAAGATAGATTTTTCGAACACATCAACTCAAAGGTTGAGGCGATTTGTCAATTCACCAAGGAATTGTAAAGTCAGGAAGGGGAACTGCCAATGTTTAGATTGCAGTGTAAAAAGGAAAGAAGATGGGAAGTTAAACACACTAGTGTGTGTTTACTGGAAACCCACACATTCAAACAGATATTTCGACTTCCAATCATCCTATCCCATGTCAGTAAAAATAGGATTGGGGAAATGTTTATGTGATAGAGCACAAAAACTAAGTAGTACCAAAGAAAATCTAAAACAGGAAGTGCTACATATAAGAGAAGCCTTGAAACTGAATAATTACCCTGATAAATTAGTCAGAAAGCATGTAGAGAAGTGTAAAAAGAAAATAAATAATTATGGTAATGATAGTGATAATGATAATGTTAATGACGACATGAATGTCAAATGTGCGCAAGACAACACCAACAATGAGGATCTACTTCCGCCGTCTAGCGAAGACCTAGCTAGAACAATTCATGTCTGCCGTAATGCATTGCTACTACTAGCAATATTTAAAAGCGGAAATACAGGCGACGGTAAGGATGACAATATCAAGGGTGTGATCAGACATTTATTATACCCTGAAACCAGTGTAGAAATCTACTCCAAACAGCATAAATGGACAAAATTCGGATTCATACCAACAACAATGTCAAGTCGTCGTCAAGTGTCGTTTGCATATGGTTGGTTGTTCAGAGACTTAAAGCTTCAGGAGAGTATCTCCAACAGATGGTGGTTGGGGCCAGAGGGGAATTGCAATGGTGGTGGGTGGTGGCGAACCACCACCATCTAACAAGCCGATTGCCAAACTATTATGCATGAGGAAACGGAGGGGAATCGGATGCACACACAGCGACGAGGCTGTTGAGCAACACATCGTGCGCCACCAACCGAGTAGAGACTCGAGTGGGAGTCGAATGGGAAAAGACTACTTAGGCGGGCGTTCAAGGTTGGGTGACATGTCAGAGAACGCGTGATGCGATGAGAGCGCCTATAGGCAGACAGCCATCTAGACAGCTAAAAATGACTGTAGGGAACAGGATTAAATGGCAGTGCGCTGTTGAAGTCCTGTTGAAGTCCACTCGGAGTTCAAGGCAATAGTAGTGACAATAATGATAATAATAGTAATAATAATAATAATGCATGAAGAGTAAATGAAGAGTTTTAGATATTTCAATTCGCTCAGAATTCTGATGGAATATATACAATCCACGCTATTTAGTGCAACGGTGGTCAACGAGTTGATGGTCGGGGGTGGGTGCCTTGCGCTGCGGGTTGGCCACCCCTCCGCACACCTCTTGAAATCCTCCCATATGACCGGGCGTCTTACATAGCCTCTCCTGAGGAAGTCCTGCTCACTGCCTTCACGTGGCGGAGGTGTTTTTTTCACCAAAGTGAGAGGGCGAAAGCGGATGCCCGGCGCTCTTCACCGGGTTGACTGTCCATTGGATGACAGTCTAGGGGAGATGGCTAAACCCTGATTCAAAACCTCAAACAACTGGCGTATGAAGCTCACTGGAGCTCACCGGCACACGTATGGACAAAGGGCTTGTTGGATGTCCTGGATGTCTGGCCCCATTCAAAAAGGCGTATGAACCGAACTCCGGTCACCGGCTGCCAATGGATAGTGGACTCCCTACTCCACTCCTACTGCCTTGTAGGTCACACTTGGTTGTGTAAAGGCTAGAGCTGCACTCTCAAACAAAAGGCCGAGCGATTCTGGGGACATCACTCGTACCAAATTCCCATGAAACTTCATGAACTCTCTTACAAACGATCTGGCCTCTTCGCGCGGAAGATGTACGCAGACTCAAGGTAGTAGACCATTGGTGCCTCAGGTACATTCTGCATGTTCGTTGGCAGGACAAACTCTCCAACGAAGAAGTGCGTCGTCGTTGCTACAACATCAACCAGATTCCAGTACTGGTCCAACAACGTCGCCTTCGGTGGTTTGGCCATGTTCTGCGCCGACCAGATGACGATCTGGTCAAATCAGTTCTAAATCCCTCGCTATTACCATCTCGGCGATGTCGCAGGGGTGGACAGCTGAAAACATGGCTTGGTACAGTCAAGGCTGATATGGAGTGCCTGGGGTTACAAACCGTCTACGGACTCCGACTGTGGAACAAGAATTGGATAACCCTGTCGCAAAACCTTGCATCAGATCGCCGTTTATGGAGACATGATAATAATAATAATAATAATTTGCTTTATTCCAAAACAGTACATGTGATACAGAATAGAATTCTCAGCATTTTTACTACAGTATTGCATCCAGTTAGTACGTTGTCAATAAAGAGAATTCTACATAGATTAAGGAAATCTCACTTCACTATGACAACAACTCATTGGCATGTCGGTAGCAAAGGTAAAGCTGAACAGTGTTTGAAGGTGTTAGAAAAGTAGCTGTCATATTTACTGGCGTAAGCGAGAGAAAGAAACAAAGCAGCACTTAACAGAAAAGAGAGAGAGAGAAAAGGAAAAGAAAGAAAGAAAATGTTTCACCTACAAATGATATAAGTTGGAAAGACGAGATCCAGTTGTACTACTGACTATTTAATGAATTATAGGTGTCACGCCTAATGCTTTCTTTATCACACAGAACACGAGCTAAGTAGGGTATGGTTGAGTTTTTGTAGTTGCTGGTGCGAGCACATAGTTTTCTATATAGGCTTCTGGTTTTACCTGATGAGATGCAAGGGGAGAGTTGTGAGTGAACAGGGTGGTGTGAGTTAGATAGAATGGATTTGGCCCATTTTTCACATGAGTTCAAGTGCCTCCCTGTCAACCAGAATATTGACAAGCTGGTTAAGTGGCACGTTACTTACCCTGCTGACAACCTTTAACATCCTGCGTAATATGTTATAGTCTTTCTTCAGTAGCCCTGGAAAAACTAAGGGGGAACAATAGAGAACAATAGGCAGAATGCGAGAATTAACGAATTGTAGGAGTAAGGGTTGGGTTATACCAGAATATTTTAACTTCTTGATGTAGAAGGTAAGACGGAATATTTTCTTAGAAATCACCAAGATATGAGACGACCAAGAGAGATCAGCAGATAGAATGACGCCAAGATATTTAATTTCCTATTTGGTTTCTATTTCAGTGCCGTCTATGTTGCATACCTCGTCAAAGCCAACCAGTTTGTTTAGGTCAGATTTATGCCTGAAGGTGAAATTGACTGTTTGACATTTTTAGAGGGATATAAGGTAAGACCGTTTTCCTTGGACCACTGGCGGATTTCTGATAAAAAGCCATTTAGTTTGGAGCAGTCACTTTGACACTTGACAGGTAAAGACACAGTCAGATCGTCAGCATATTTAACAAAATTAATGTCATTTGAAGAAAGAAAGAAAGAAAAGAGAAGTGGGGAGAGTAAAGCACCTTGGGGGGCACCGGCTTTAGTGAGCACAGCGGAGGAGGATTTACCTTTGTATACGGTGTACTGTTTTCTTTTAGAGAAGTAGGAATGCAGCCAGTTTGTGACCCAGGACTCAGTTTTTGTCATAGAGAGCTTATTTAGCAAGAGACATCTAGGTACAGAGTCGAAAGCAGAAGTGAAGTCAAGAAACGTGCAGCGGACGTATTTGGCACCTTTATCTAATGATGAGACGATGTTGTCGTGTAAGACAGCTGTAGCGTCTAAAGTGCTCCTACCCTGTCTATAGGCAAATTGTTTGGGGTCTTCAAAGTTTTTAAGGGAGGGTTCAAGTTTAAGAAGTATTAGTTTTTCCATAAGCTTTAGATCTTGATCAACAAAGACAAGGAATAATAATAATAATGGACAATAATAATGATACATCAGAAATATCAAACTAACAACAATAAAGATACTCACATGAAACATTCAAAGTACCACCACCACTACGACTACTGTCGGTAGCTGCTGCTGCTTTTGGTTCAGGCGACGATTGACTAACTCCACAAGCTGACGCTATGAAGTCATCACTCAAAGGACTTTTTAGTAAATCGGAGATGATTGATCTTGCACCACTTGGAATCGGTAAATTCATGATATCAGCACCGACAGCTGAATTCAATTGACTCATTAGGAGTTTTGTAGGTGTAGTCAATGGAGTAGAAGTGCTCCTCTTCGATTCTCTATTTATGTTTATGTCGGTTGGTGGAAAGGATCACAGTGGGGGATGAGAACAAAAGAAAACAGAAAACAGATAGAAATCGACACGGAAATGAAAAAATACTTTAGATTCGCATCAAGAGAAATTATTTTTTTGAACAAAGCAACAACTACAGTTTTTGCAGAATAAAGTGGTACCATCTTTTATTTCGTTGGCTTCTCGTTAGTTGCTTACAGGGCAAAGACATTATTAAATGCATCTACAGGTAAATATTTACGCAGATACGCTCCACACAGGGATGGGTCTTCCTGCTCCCCCCTCCCAGTCAACAGACCTCTTAGGCGGCGGCTCATAGAAAACAGAAGATAGTCAAGTTGGTTGTTTTGGTTAAAAAGTGACAATGACTAGGGGGTGTTGCGCCTACACAATTCTCAAAGTATAAAGTACAATACCACGAAATGGTATATAAATACTATTGATGCGCTTTCTGATCTTAATGAGGAGGGAGGGGAGAGGATGGTAGGGCACACTGATCGTTTCATCTACCTGGAAAGGAACATCATCATTTGTCCTCGTGAACCACTGCTTCTAGGCATAGATAGGCACAGATATCGCTCACTTGTTCAAATATTTGTGACTCTCAATCAGTGGATGGATAGATAGGGCGCGTTTGAATCACTCTCTCCGGCTATCTACTTCATCAGCCAGGTCATCAACTGGGTATCCATTAGCAAAAAAAGAGTAGCGAATAACCAGACAGTGAGACGGTGATGATTTATACATACTCTTCATCATTGATCATCGGTGAGCGGGGGTGGGGATTACAGATGGAGTCGTTTTTGTATATACAACTACAGAGAGAGATATGTAATGCATAGGCAAAGCAGTAGTGTGGTGAGTGCTACTTATAATCCGATATAAGTAGTATATCAGAAACGAATTCAGAAAAGTAACAATATGTTTTGCACACTGGAAAGAGCAATCAAAGAAGAGAACCATGAGAAGAATGTTGCCATATGATGCAGAATCCAAGAAGCTATCGAATGTGACGATATTCGACCAATCGTCAAGGATGTGGTAAATGATGTGCAAATGGCAGGTTGAGAATATGGTATACCAAATTTAGCTATGTACCATACGTTTCACCGAATAAACATTCCTTTCAGCCTCCTCGGTCTTTTCTTCTTTACAGTAGCAGTGATGCAGCAGCATTTGTACTCTTTCCTCTTCTACTACTATACCACAATTCCAAACTTTGTATTCCACTATTCTGCTGACTAAATTATCTTTAACAAAGCAAGCACAACAATTGTACCAGAGGATAATATGAGCTCATTTCTTTTTCTTTTATTATTTCGAGGAATATTCTCAAGTGGTTACAGCATGAACGATAAAAAATGTAAATGAATTACATTGTGAAGATTTGAACAACGAGTCATTGGTAGGAAGTGTAAAAGTAACATTAGTCCGGAATGATTTAACTAATTAAGAGTTACAGACACACTGACTATTTATAGAATAATTAGACAATTAGGCTTTGAAACAAAAAGAACAGAGTTGCGTATATATATATATATATATATATATATATATAATTGGAAGGCTATGATCTTCCTCCCAGAGGTGGGGTGATAGATGAGTACTGATGTGGGGTGGAAAAGAAGTAGGAAACAGCTATTCATTACAACCTGGTTTTCAACAGCTCCCTCGCTGATGTCAGTTCGTGATCTGAGAAACGAATAGTTCCCATTAGTTTTTGTTCTCCTTTCTTTGTTACTATTATATTGTCGCTCACATATTCTATTACACACTAATTTTATATTTCATATCCTGTGGTGCATTTGTTAAAATGTGAATGCAATGCTGTTCTTTTTATTTCTTTTATTTATCTTTTTTCTGTTTGTTGTTGTTGTTGCTTTTTATTTTTAAAATCTTATAAAAATTTATGAGGCAATTAGATGGAATATTGTAATGCACACTGAAAATTCCATACCTGTACCACAAATACTGTTTGGAATAAAGCCATTATTATTATTATGTTCTCTTCTTTGAATCGAAAAATGGCTTTAGAAAAAGAGAGCGGATCAGTCACTGTATCCAGTTCACTGCTTTTATAGATGAAGTGAAAAACGTACCACTACAAAATCACAAACAGTCTACACACCACCACCTATTTATTATTGTCTGCTTCTGCTCTAACATAGTATAATCATAGTCAACAAGTCTTAACGAGTTAGTCGGAATATCATCAAAGTGGAAACGAAATCGACTCTTAACTCGAGAAAATATTTGCCAAAGTAACAAACATCAACACAACAACTACACGGCTTGCTTTCACTTCCAATGTTCTATTATACCACAACATTCCACACTTTCTATTCCACTAATCTGCTAACACTAAATTTATCTTTCCCTCCATGCATATCCTTCCTTTGTGATTCAATCAATCAATACCCGGAAAAAGAAAAAAATATGAGTAAAATCAACACACACTTACATGGCTGAAATTTCTTCATTTTGATGATGATGATTTAAAATTTGTTCTTTTGGATCAGCAGTTGACGACTGGCTGGCGTGTTTGTCAGGAGAGGCGGGGAGTGAAGGCAGTAACAGCTGCATACTGGCAGAATCACCGCATAAAGAAGAAGCAGAAGAAGGCAGCTGTCTACTTTGCTCCATCAAGTGGTGGTCACCGCAGCATGAGGAGTTCAGAGTACTCTGATCACTGGTCACTACTACTCCCCCACCACCGCCACCATCAGCACCGACGACGACGTTAAGACTTGAAATCTCTGGAATAATATCAGCGCCAAGGTCTTGGAGTAGTAATAGTCCTGACAGATCATGTGATCCCTCCACCATACTGTCGTCAACAGGAAGAGGTTCCATTTGAACAGAAGTATCTAATACCCAACTGGTGTTAGGACATTCACAACATTCCTCCGATTCCGGTGTAATCGGGAATGTTGTTGTAGGATTAGGATTATTATTATTATTATTATTACTATCAATTGGAACGACGTGTGAAATATCCATGATGTTGGCGAGAGCATTGTCACCACTGCCCGCTGATGACGATGATGATCCTGATGATTCACATATCTCTCCAAATGCAATGCCTCGTAACTCCATGTAGAGACCTAGAAAGGTTCAAAAGAATGCATACTGAACAAATAGTACTCTTTCCGATAACTTCATCATCATCAGGCTCTACAGTTATATATCCATCCATTATAGTGAATGAATGAATGAATTAGTGTTGTGAACAACAACATGAATGTTGCTGTTTAAAAAACATCGAATCAATAATAATAATAATACCAATGGATTACAGTTCAATAGCATCAACATAACAATAAGCTGAATGTCAGTTGAATTAGGGAAGATGATAATACGAATTCATGAAGGCCATGGCAGTAGAAGGGGTTGGACTTGCTTCTTTTGCACAAAGAGCACTGGTTCTTTGCGGCGAATTGCAATAGCCTCTGGTGTTTGGAGCATGTTGTGGGTGCTTCGATGATGATTTCGGCAATTTACTAGGCACCCGGTAGATGATGATAGAGAAGGATTCTTCCACACTGGTTGGCTGCCTGGCTTTGTGGCCGGCTGGCCGGTTTGCACCAAATGGTCCCATATGGAACTGTTTGTTAATGGTTTTCACTACGCATTTACTTAGCCATAGTGGAAGATGTTCTCGAGAGAGTGACCACGAAAAATCAAGTTTCTAGAGCAACGGCCAATATAACTCGCTCCACAAGCACAGTTGAGTTGAATTGGTAGATACAATTTGAAGTGGCCAGCTAGTCTAGTCTAGCTACTTCATCTTTCAGTCGAGGAATCACCATCGGTCGTGCAGAGAATAAGAACTGATTTTCTTAATTTTTTCGTAATTATATCTCACTTGGTATATCGATCGCCCTTGAATTGCAGTCGCATATAAAGTGGCTTCTTGTTTACAAATAGTGAGTAGTCCTTTTTCGCCGCTTTCTTTGTCATATGTTTCTTGATAAATTTGTCGGGATAGCTGTTTTCGATCAAAGTATCATATACAATGTTTAATTCATCTTTAATTACTTCTTCTGAGCATATAGCTCTAATTGACTCTGTGGCTGAGGGTCTTCACTAAATTTCTTTTGTAATTGATGGGAACGAAGCTGTGAAAATGTGTATATTGTCCTGTCCAAGTACTTTTGTCAATGCAAATTTCTTTTTATGCTACCATCTGGTTTTCTTGTAAGTAGGATATCCAGGAAGGAAATTCTGTCTTGGGATTCCTCTTCGCATGTGAATTTCATAGCCGAATGTACTTCATTGAATTCAGTAATTATTGTACTCCTATCCGAATCATAAAATCACAAAGAATGAAGGTGTCATCCATATACCGGCAACAGAATGAAAACTTTCTGATAAGGTGGTTGTTCAATGGTCCATTTTCTGGTTTACTTACTTAGAAAGAAATCAGACAAAATGGGACCCAATGGGGAGCCTATCGCCACTATCTTCTCATGCAAAGGTTTGAGAATATTTACTAGCCATCTAGTTAGAGCATGGTAGGGCGAATTTTGCATATCAAGTATTGGTCTTAACGGTACCCCTGGTTTATGCACTTTAGGTAAGCCATACAATCTTGGCGTATACGTGCCCGTTGGCCTGATTTCTTCATATAAACTTTACCTATAAAGGTAAGGTTTAATTTATGCATGCATGCATGCATCATAATCTCTTATATCCAATAAAAAGTATATAGCTGCGAGTAACTACTACTACTACTATTATTATTCTGATAATGGTACTACCATATGCCAGAAAGGATGTTTTTTAGGATAGCACAATTAGACCAAAAGCACTTACCATCGTCATTATGTAAGTTGTTTTTACAATATATATTACTGATCATCTGTGTGGGAGGGTGAAGGCGTACTGCTGGCGGATGATATGGATGTAACACCACCAGTAAGCTATTTCCTTCCTTCACATGACCAGTATGCCAGCCAGCCAGCTAGCTAGCTAGCTATGTTGTCTCTCCACTCTGAAGAAAAGGCGGTTGGAAAAAGTCAGCCCAAAAGATTTATACATCTCGAATTATCTTATGAAGGTAAGATTTTATTACGCGAATTCAACTCCAGAAAAAAAAAAAAAACAGGCCACCCCTTCTGGCTTACCTTGGCCTCGAGTAATTGTCCCTTGGGTTTCGTGGTCATGCACGCAACTTTAGTGTTTCCCCTGTTTCAAGTAAACTAAGGAAACACCCCTGCACACACACACACACACTTCCAAAAGTACACAAAGCTTTACACTCATCATCGCCACAACCTTTTCACACTAATTGCGTACACTATGACAGTACCCAAATTTTATACATGTAATATTTTATTGTATTGCGATGTCTTCGAGTTTGTGCGATGTGCGAGACATAAATCCTCCACGAAATCTATGGATCTTCTAGGGATGATTTTTAAAGGGACAAAGGCATATTCCCGTCTTCTCACACACTCTCAACAGTCAGTCTTCCGTAGTTCAACCGCAATCAGTAAATACACATATAGGTACTTATATCTAACTTTGTCTGGACAGTTCTACTTTTACACCAACAACAAACATCAACAAACAACTGTGAATAAAGCAGCATTTATTGAATTCAAGAGTCGATCGGTCAGTAGACGAATAATCATCAATAAAAACCAGCGTAAAGATAAAAAATGAGGCAATCTGTGATAACACGAATACTGATGAAAAACAGCACAATTAAACAAATAACTGTTCAGGTAGAGGTAGTAGTCGATAAAGGCTAGGAAAAAACAAATGGACCGTTTACGTAATGATAGATTGTAAGGGAAGTAAATGAGACACGTTTTTAATGAAGATGTGATAAGATTAAGGGATGATAAGAGAGGAGGGGTTGAAAATATAAGGTAAGGGGTGGTGGTGTAGAAGTCATCAGTTGGTTATGTCTTAATAGGCCAATAAGGGAGGGATAATGGCTGTGTATGAACTTCTTTTAAATGAGCATAGTTTAGGTTTAATAGTTCGAATGCATATCGCCTCAGCTGCGTGTGTGCAGTAGACGAATACGAAGTCTATTGGAAAGATTCTGTGGGATACGATGAATTACTTTGAAAGCTCTCGTTTTCTCCACTACAACATGACCACTATTAATTAAATGTGACAAAATTGAGCTACGGATTGTTTTTGTCTGTCCTCTACCAAACAACGATGATGGGAGATATTCAGTAGTGACACGTTGGCTGGCTAAGCTGTCTAGTAGTAGTGTGCCTAACATAACTGCCACCGCAGGTGCACATAGATGTGTGGGAAAACTATCTAGTTATCTATCCTTCGTTTGCGTCCCAATCATTCGTCGGCTAGAGAATGACAAACACATAGGTATGCTGCGTAAAACTCTCTCCGTATACTCCTGGAAAGTCTCCGGAACAAAATCTCACTTGACAGACAAGTCACCATTAAACTGAAACTTAATAAATAGAGGCTTTTTACGTGCAGTTACATTTGTTTTTACTAGCCTTTATCGACTACCACGTCCAACTGAACATTATTATTATTATTGTTCCCTTGGGTTCCTAGTGGAACATAGGGCTTCAACTGCACGTCTCCACTTGCTTCTGTCTTCTGCTGTACTTTTCACTTGCGTCCATGTTATTCCATACTGTTTCATCTCCTCCTCACACGATCTCCTCCATGTCACCCTTGGACGTCCCACTCGTCGCTTCCCTTTCGGGTTCCACTCGAGGGCCTGACGCGCGATGTCACTCAACGGCCTCCTCAGCGAGTGTCCAATCCATCTCCACTTCCTCCTGCATATTTGTTGGGCGATTGGTTCCTGTTTCGTTTGTTCCCATAGCTTCTTGTTTGTGATTCTTTCCGGCCATCTAATCTTCAGTATGGAGCGAAGACAGTTGTTGATAAAGGTCTGCAACCTTTTGAAAATATTCTTGGTGACCCGCCAAGTTTCTGATCCGTAAAGTAAAATTGACTTCACGTTTGTATTGAAAATCCGAATTTTGTTGTTGATGGTGAGTGACGAAGATTTCCAGATTGGTTTCAGGTTGATGAATGTGTTTCTCGCCTTCCCGATTCGCGATTTAACATCCTCGTCCGTTCCTCCTGTGGTTGAGACAATGCTCCCTAGATAAGTAAATGAAGTAACCTCTTTCAAATCCCTCCCGTTGATGGTGATTGGCATTGGATGTTGCTGCTGTTCTTGGTTGGTTATTTTCATGACCTCCGTCTTGTGTATGTTCACCTGGAGTCCTGTCTTTGCTGCTTCTTCGACCAGTTTGTCGGTTTTTGCTTGTAAGTCTTCGATTTTGTGTGACATCAAACATAAATCATCCACGCGCGAAATCCAGGTCTTCTAGGTTCTTCACGTCGGTCCAGGATATCCCTGTCTTCTCGTTTCCCACTGTCTGACGCATAATCCAGTCCACCACAATTAGGAATATCATTGGTGATAATAAGCACCCTTGTCTGACTCCTGTGTTTACTCCAAACGCTTCGCTGAGTTTTCCGTTGTGGATCACTTGACATGTGCCGTTGTCGTACAGTTGTTGAATAAGGTTGATGAATATTTGCGGTACGCCGTAGTACTCGAGTAGTTTCCAAATTACTTCGCGGTCAACGCTGTCGAAGGCCTTCTCAAAGTCTATGAAGTTGAGGTAGAGATTTGATTGCCATTCCATGCTTTGTTCGATGATAATGCGTAGAGTTGCAATTTGGTCAGAGCATGATTTGCCTTTCCTGAATCCAGCTTGTTCTGGTCGGAGTTCTGTATCCAGTGCGTCCTTGATTCTCTCCAGGATGATGCGACTCAGGATTTTACTTGGCGTCGACAGGAGCATGATTCCTCGCCAGTTCTTGCAGAGTCCCAGGTCGCCCTTCTTTGGTAGTTTCACCAGGTAACCTTTCCTCCAGTCAGTAGGCACCTTTCCCTCTTTCCAGATCTTTTGCAATAATGGAGTCAGCATATCTGCCGTCGTTTCTGGGTCCGCTTTCAGTGCTTCCGGGGGTATTCCATCTGGTCCAGCTGCTTTTCCAGATTTCAGAAGCTTGATTGCATTTATGACTTCAGTTTTCGTTGGAGGATTGGTGTCAACTTGCAGTTGTGTACGTGCTGTTGTTGGTA